CTCGGGGCAGCAGTGCAACAGTGGGAGGGCTTCTAGTGTCCTGGGCCTCCTGATGGCCCCTGGTATTTCTGGCCACTGTGTGACACAGAGTGTTGGACTGGAGGGGCCATTGGCCTGATCCAACATGGGCGTCTTATGTTCCTGTGTTCTTATGGTATGGATCTTCTCTCCTTGCTGACAGCCCTTTGAGGCAGGCATGGCTGAGAGTGTGACTGCCGCCCCCCACTCACTCCCCAGTGAGCTTTAGGGCAGAACGAGGAGTTGAGCCTGGGTCACCGTCACATCCCTGCCCCAGACTGGCTTGGTCAAGAAGGGGGGTGGATGGAGCAGTTCTGGTCCAGGATACCCAGAGGATGGGCTGGATTCTGGCTCAAACAGACCTGGGTGGATAACGACCTGTGTCGACCAGAACATCACCAGAAGCCCTGCTGGATCCAACCAGTGGGGGTCCCTCTAGTCCAGCCTCCCATCTCAAACAGTGGCCAACCAGTTCCTCCGGAGAGGCAACAACAGGGCAGGGAAACCTTCAGAGAGCTAGTTTGGTGTGGTGGTTAAGTGCGCGGACTCTAATCTGGGAGAACCAGGTTTGATTCCCCACTCCTCCACTCGCAGCTGCTGGATGACCTTGGGCAAGCCATAGTTCTGGCACAACTGTCCTTGAAAAAGAGTAGTTTCTGTCAAGAGCTCTCTCGGCCCCGCCTCCCTCCCAGGGTGTCTGTTGTGGGGTGGGGAAGGGAAAGGAGTTTGTTAGCCGCTCTGAGACACCTTTGGGTAGTGAAGGGCGGGGTATAAATCCCAATCTCTTCCTCTTCCTCCTCCTTTATAAACCTCTCCTGTGTCCCCCCGTCCCCCCGGTCATCTCTTTTCTAAACTGAAAAGTCCCAGTGTCTCCGGCCTCAGGGCCCCAGAGGTTTTGACCAATAAGGCTCGGCGTTTCAGGCTCCCCAGTCAAAGGTGCCTGGGTCCAGTTCTGTGGGACCAGCCGGGGGGGTGGGGGTAGTTCTTGAGCTGCCTCTCGGTCTGAGGTCCCCGTCGGCTGGGGAGGGACCGACCTGCCTTGTCCCCGTCTTTCTCCGTCCTCCTGGAACCTTCCGCATCTGCCACTCCTGCCTCCCTCAACTCAGACCGCTTCTTCTCTTCTCGTCCAGATGAACCGATCCAGCCGATTGACCCGGCGGCTTGGGTGTCCCACTCTGCCGCCCTGACGGGGGCCTTTGCCGCCTACCCGGGCAGCAGCTCCATGAGCACCATCACCTCCGGGACCTCCGTCACCGAGACCGAGCGTGAGTCCCCCGTTTGGGCCCGCCGTGATGGGGGGGGGGATAGCGTGGAGGGGAGTCTGCCTTTGGAAAGGGGCTCTCCTCTGCTGGGCTCTTTTGGGGTTCTTGGAGTGAGGCCAGGCCCTGCCTTTCGAAAAGCGGATCGCGAGCCCAGCCGATGGTGGCACGGCCCAGACGGGCCTTCCGTCGACGAGGGGCTGGCTTGGGCGGATCCTTCGACACCCACGAGTCAGCCAACCCCTCCCTCCCCCCCCCCCCCCCGGGGAAGGGGGGGAAAGAATCCTGGGTGGCGATTGGGGGGGGGGCATTACTGGGATCCTGGGATGGTCCCTCTGAGCATCCAGCTATCGGGCCTCGGGAGGGAGGGAGACGCCCCCGTCCGTCCCCGGCAACCCGACTGCACGCCTTCCCGCCTTCCCCAGGCTCCGACGTGGTGGACTGGCTGTACCACCACGTGGAAGGGTTCCAGGACCGTCGGGAGGCCCGCAAGTACGCCAGCAACCTGCTGAAGGCCGGCTTCATCCGGCACACGGTCAACAAGATCACCTTCTCCGAGCAGTGCTACTACATCTTTGGGGACTTCAGCGGCTGCGAGAACTGTGAGTGGAGGGCTGCCTTTCGGACTGGGACCACCCGGGGGCCTTCAGTTTGGCCAGGCAGTCTCCTCCCGCCACGGCGGGTCACTTAGTTGAGGGTCTCTTATGTTTCCACTGTTTCAAGGCTGTCGGTCTGTCTGTCTCTCTCTCTCTCTCTCTGGGTGGGGGCCACCAGCAAGACTTCCAGCACTCAGATTAGGGGGAAGCTGGTCAGCCGTTGAAATCGCAGCCCTGAATTGAGCAGTGTTCCCTCTAAGCTGAGTTAGTGTAAGCTAGCTCCCAGTTTTAAGCCTCCAGCTCACACATTTTCGCCTTAGTTCAGGAAGGATGTCTCCAGAGCCAGCTGATTGATGCAGCAGGCCAATCGCTCGCTCACCACTTTAATGCCTGCAGCTCACAAAGTAGGATTTTTGCTCACAAGACTCTACAGCTATTTGAGGCTAACGTCATATACCCTTGTTTGATAATTGAGCTGAAGACCTTTGGTCACAGAAGCAAGACTTTGGTCACAGAAGCAAGACTTCCAGCGCTCAGCTGGTCAGCCGTTGAAATCGCAGCCCTGATGAGCAGTGTTCCCTCTAAGCAGAGTTAGTGTGAGCCAGCTCCCAGTTTTAAGCCTCCGGCTCACACATTTTCATCTTAGCTCAGGAAGGATGTGGCTCCAGAGCCAACTGATTGATGCAGCAGGCCAATCGCTCGCTCACCACTTTAAGGCCTGCAGCTCACAAAGTGGGATTTTTGCTCACAAAACTCCGCAGCTTTTTGAGGCTAACGTCGTATACCCTTGTTTGATAATTGAGCTGAAGACCTTTGGTCACAGAAGCTAATAAACAGGGCTCTTTTTGTAGAAAAAGCCTAGCAGGAACTCATTAGCATAATAGGCCACACCCAGCAGCAGGAACTCATTAGCATATTAGTCCACACCCCCGACAGCACAGCTCATTACCACATTAGGCCGCACCCCCATGTTACCAGAAGTGTGGTCATCCAGCCACACCCACCTTTTGCTTCTTATTCTGTTTACCTTGTTTGTTGTCAAAACCCAGGGCCTTTTTTTGTAGCAGGGACTCCTTTGCATGTTAGGCCACACACCCCTAATTGTAGCCAATCCTAATGAGTTCTGCTGTTGGGTGTGGCCTATTTATTATGCTAATGAGCTCCTGCTGGGCGTGGCCAGCCGGAACTCCGTTCCTGTGCGTTCCTGTCCCAAAATAGCCCTGCTAATAAACGTAAGTAAGTCAGACTCCACAGCTTAGGGGGTGCAGTTGTTTGGAACGTCTCGAGTGCTGTAGAAGCGCCGTGTTTCCCTCCCACCGCACCCCCTCCAGCACCAGAGATACCCAGAACCTCTGCTGGGGCTCCCACTCTTCGGGCCGCTTGGTGACCTGCCCGGTTTCCTTTCTCCTCCCCCAGATATGGCGAACCTCTCCCTGAACGACAACGACGGCTCCAGCGGGGCCTCTGACCAGGACACGCTGGCCCCTCTGCCCCTGCCGGGCACCACCCCGTGGCCCCTGATGCCCACCTTCTCCTACCCGTATCCAGCCCCTCACCCCTACAGCACTCAGCCCCCGCCTTACCACGAGCTGTCCTCCTACAGCTACGGCATCGGAAGCGCCGGCAGTCAGCACAGCGAAGGTAGGGCCTGCTGGCCGGGGTCACGCGGGAGTCCCTTCTTCCCTGGCCCCCGGCGGTGGGCCGCGTGGGGAAACCAGCAGAGCCCTCCGCGGTGCCCGCTTCCCAGCCGTGTGTGGCGCCAGCAGGGTGTAGCGGTCGAGCCGTCCGACCCAGGTTCGAATCTCCGCTCTGCCATGGAAGCCTGTGGGTTACCTAGGGCCAGTCGCTCTCTCTCGGCTTAGCCTGGGAGGGCAGAATGGAGGAGAACACAAAATAGGTGTGCTGATTTGGGTCTCCGTTTGGGGAGAAAAGCCGGGTGTAAATGGGGAAGTACCTAAAAGCTGGGGCTCACAGGAATAAGGGTCTGGGTTTGCTGGGAAGAGCAGGGTGCTTGCGGGCAGATTCTGAGTTCTGGTTTAAGGGAAGGAGCCGTGTTCCCTCTAAGCTGGGCTGGTGTGAGCCAGCTCACAGTTTTTTAGCCTCCGGCTCACACATTTTTTGTCTTCGCTCAGGAAGGATGGGGCTCCAGAGCAAGCTAATTTATGCTGCAGCCGAATCGCTCCCTCACGTCTTTAATGCCAGGAGCTCACAAAGCAGAATTTTTGCTCACAAGACTCCACAGCTTAGAGGGAGCATTGGAGCTCGGGAGTCCTGGCTGTTCAGGGCAATGGGGCGGCGTGATTTTGTGGGCCTGGCGTCTTCCTGCTTCTCTGTGAGTGGGAGGAGAAGGAGGGAGGGAGGGACGCTCGGCACCTCTCCCTGGCTGACCTCCCCTTCTTTTGCTTCTCCCCTGCAGGGAGCCGGAGCAGTGGCTCCAACCGCAGCGACGGGGGTGGCGGCAGCGGCCGCGGGGCCGGCAAGCACCAGGAGGAGAAGGCGGGGGCGGATTCCAAGTCGGGCAGCGGGAGTGAGTCCGAGTACTCGACCCGCAGCGGCGGGGGGCAG